TAATCCTAAACCTAACCCTATACCTAACCCTAAACCTAACCCTTAACCTAACCCTAAACCTAATCCTAACCCTAAACCTAACCCTAAGACTTAACCTAACCCTAAACCTAACCCTTACCTTAAGTTGAATCGGCTTGCTTTCAAAGCGCTATTTAAAGCGCCCTTCTTTCTACGCGCTCGCTGTTGTCGCCCTGTTGATGACGTCAGCGATGCGGTTTAATTGGACGCGGCTTAGTCGAGCGCGGTTTTGTCGTGTCACGCTTCGGGGGGCGGGACAAGCAAAAAACCACCCGTTTTTCACGAAAATTGGCCCGTTTTTTGTCAAGAAAAGGGCATGCATAGCCTTTAGGAGGCTTACAGAATGCTCCTGGGGTCGGGCGGGGGGCAAAATTGAGCAAAAAAATAGCCCGTTTTTCGCTCATTTCTACCCTCCCAGCCACCAGGAGCACTCTGCAAGCCTCCTAAAGACTCTGACGGTGAAGGGCCGGGGTTTCGGGAGGCCAAAAATGCTGTGTTCAATGTATAAGACGCAGCCAGATTTTCAGCCTCTTTGTTGAGGGAAAAAGGTGCATCTTATACTCCGAAAAATACGGTAACCAAGTCTTTGCATTTCTGCTTCATTAAAACAAAGTGGAATATAATCCTTTAAAAATGTTTGGATATCTCTTCTGCAGGCCGTACCGAAGATTGAACCAGTGAAAACTACACCTTGTATTCGGGCTCCGTATCCGCAATCTATTATTACACTACAAAACCTTCTGCATAAGCAAAAACTCAAGCTTGTGGATCTCTTCAAAAAAGCTGACAGGAGCAAGACAATGAAATTCAAAAGAGTGGATTTCCTTAGAATTATCCAGGAGGTATGTGGGAAAACACTTATACTCCCTGAATTTTTATTGGCAAGATTTTAGAGATGGTTTGCCACTGCTTCTTTCTAGGGTTGAGCGAAAGAGAGTGATTGGCCAAGCTCACCTAGCTTAATATCATATTTACATACCCTAATTCTTTAGAAGCATGTTATATGAAAATAGTTTCCATTCACATATCCGTACCTGAATGAGAGTATCTGTGTGTGAAAATATAGCACGGAGGTCCTAGTAAAAAGAAAGAATTTCAACTGCTTTATAGCATTTTTTAGTGAAGGGAATCACATGAGCATCATCAGTTTGCAATTTGCTGGTGTCAAAGTGTGCATTGCTTGTATTGCAATCATTGGACTGCATGATTTCTCATGAAAGACCGCTCATTCTATTTCCATGCACATATTTCTCATTAAATCAAGGCTTGTGCACATAGTAATAATTGAAAGTGAAAAGTTTGTTTGTATCTTGCTATACTGAGAAGATACCAATGTAAGAAATTGTTCTGTTTGAAATAGCTGTTTCCCCTTGGATTTTTATACCATGTCAAGTCCCAGTCCTCACTGCAATTATTATTCTCTATTTGTTTCTAGACCAAGGTGCCTATCAGTAAAAGTGAGTTAGAAGATATCATTGTCTTTCTCACCGTTTCAAAGAAAGGACATACTATAACTGGTGCTGACTTAGCTGAATGTCAAAGATTATGGCTGGAAAATGTAAAGGATAACTGGAAACAGCCAAAGCAAGGTAACAAGGAACCAAATCAAAACCGATGATTGAATACCATATTTTTCAGAGTATAAGACGCATCAGAGTATAAGACACACCCTATTTTGGGGGGAGGAAAACAGGAAAAAAAGTTTCTGCCTCTGCCTATGAGCATTCATCGGTATTAATCTGGCTAGTGTCATTGCAGCAAACAGCCTGGTCAGCTTCAGCACGTTATTGCAGCCTGATTCAGCAGGAGCAGCTGAATGCCAAGTGGAATACCCCCAATCAGCTGTTCCAGGCTGCAGAGATTGCCACAGACCATCGCCCCCCTGTGCCTTGCATTTTCGGGTGATTCCAGACAGCGGGGATCCTCACTTCCACTCGGATTTTGATAAGCTTTTTATCCATTTAAAACAAACCCTATCACCATATGCGTATTTAACTGGAGGGGGAGGGGGAAGATTGGGTATGGTTTTCAGGGGGGCAGAAGAGAGACTTAGTACCAAAGGCTTCCGAGACACCCCGTCTTCCTATCTATAACCGTAGGCATCGAACCGTAGGCCTATAACTGTAGGCTTTCTTGCAGCAAGGCTCGATAGAGACTCAGCACTTCAGTCCTTCTGGACACTGCCATCTCATAAACAGGGATTTCCCAGAAAGCCTCCTGCACCTTTGCTGCTTCAGTCAGAGCCTGATTCCCGAAGCAGCCCTGGGAAGCGCGGGGGTCAGAACTCAGGAAGTGGGCACTGCGCAGGAGGCATAAGGCAGTTACTGTGATCTCCGCCGCCTGGAACGCCTTCGTTTCAGATCTGCCTTCCGCTAGTCCGGTTGAAGATACACCACCCTCTTTCCTACATATTCATACAGCAGGACAGCTTTATCGTGACAGCTGTTCGAGCGGACGGTGAACTGCCTCCGCTTCTGATCATGCTGCACCTGGATGGGGAAGCTGCCACCAGTGGGCTCCAGCAGGTTGAGAGGAGCTGCATGCCCTCACCCCATGCCTTTCCTGCCCTCTCCCCCACTGCCGGCTGCTTCGCCTGGGTCATCTGGAGAAGGAGCAGGTGAAGCAGGCACTGCACAGGAGGCGTAAGGCAAGGTGGCTCGCTGCTCAGCCTCCCGCTTCTCCAGACAACCTAGGCGGAGAGCTGTCGGCTTCTGCTCCTGGCCCGGGAAATGGATCTGGCCAGGTGGAACGCACATCCTGTTTTTGTATTTGGAGTATAAGACGTGCCAAGATTTTCACCCTCTTTTGGGGGTAGGGGGAAAGGTACGTCTTATGCTCTGAAAAATACGGTAGTTTTCAGTTCCTGATAACTTTGATCCTGTAGTTCTAACTTACTGAGTTAGTTGCTGATGGCATCATAAACAAATATCGAAGGTGTTTTTTAAGTTACTGTATTTGGAATTTCTAGACTATAATTCCAAAATATTTGAAGGCTAGCAAGTTGGGGAATATATAAATAACTTAAGAAAAATTGACGTGCCAGTTAGTGACATAATACTGTATGGGTATCGGCTATACTAGGTTGGCTTGTAGTTTGGCAATTTAATATATGAAAGGAAATAAGCAACAGTCATATATATCCATACAGTATGTATTAGTTATTTTAGTTATGTTAATAGAGATCTAAAACATTGCAGATTAGTAATTATTGTGAATGCTAACTGTTGAATATCTAGTAATTATTGTGAATGCTAAGTGTTGAATATCAAAGTAAGATAGGACATTTTTCTAATTTCTGAGAAAGTATTTCCTGAACTAAGATGAAGCCAGCATGATAAAACAGCTCAATAATTGCTGGAGGGGGGTGGGGGTGGGAATAGATGAGAAAGAAATATTGATGCCTTTATAATCTATTTTCTGTTTTCTTTCCTTTGTTTTAATAACAATGTTAAAGAGCCATTGCCTATGGCAAAATCTGCATCCATCTCTTCAAAAGCAGATATATTTGCTCATGCCAAGTCCAGTATAACTTCTCATGTAGCTTGTCAACCTAAGTCAAACCATTTGAAAGTTCCTCCCATCGACACCAACCCAGATCGCAGGCACTTAACTTATAGTGAAATGGAAATAGTTGGGAAGAGATACAAGGAAACCAGACGGCGACTAAAGGTACTGTATTTTTGTGGCCTGACTCTACCCTCAAATCATTTGCTTTGGATCATGCGAAGGGACTACTAGCTGGTTTCACAAAGTAAGGATGAATTATAGGCAGAAGGCCATTTCATTTTATAGTAATTTGGATAAATCACTAAATATTTCAATAAATAGCAATAGCACTTAGACTTACCATATTTTTACAGCATAAGATGCACCTTTTTCCCTCAAAAAAGAGGGTGTAAATCTGAGTGCGTCTTATACACTGAATACAGCATTTTTGGCCTCCTGAAACCCCACCCCCTTTGCAAAAAGGGCCGTGCATAGACTTTAGGAGGCTTCCAGAGAGCTCCTGGGGGCTGGGGAGGGCAAAAATGAGCGAAAAATGGTCCGGTTTTGCCCCCCAGGACCACTCTGGAAGCCACCTAAAAGCTATGCAAGCCCCTTTTTTGACAAAAAACGGTCCATTTTCGGGAGGTCTGCACAGTGCAATTTTTTTTTTTTAGTTTGCCTCTTCAAAATCTTGGTGTGTCTTATACTCCGATGAGTCTTATACTCTGAAAAATACGGAGTATACCACTTCATAGTGCTTTACAGCATCAGCATATTGCCCCTCTCCCCCAACAATCTGGGTCCTCATTTTTCCAAACTTGGAAGGATGGAAGGCTGAATAACTTTGAGCCAGCCAGGATCGAACTAGCAGTGGGGAGAGTTAGCCTACAATGTTCCACCACTGTGCCACCAGGGCTCTTTGAAATGTAGGGGAAAGAAACAGCAACAGAGAAGAGTGAAAAAGTGAAAAAGCCCAATGAGGCAGCATTCCTGAAGATGTCTGCCAAAGTGGTTCCCTCTTAGTGTTCGTTTGGCAACAGAGGGC